TGATCTTATTACTGTTGCTCAGTGTGCTGTCTACGCCAAAGCACCAGTACACAATATGGCGTTACTTAGCTCAGCAGACTATGTAGATAGTTTTGATTTGATTCTTCACTTGATTATATAAATGTGTTATAATATATAGTGTATCGGTTAATAGTATCCTTAATAACAACATGTCATACGATAGTCCATAATGGATAGTGCTGGGTATAAATAGATAATTAATATTAAATCATAATATAATTACATGTATGGATATAAAATAAATATAGATATCAACCCATAGATAAATAGATAATTAATAATAATCATTCTTGAGCTTTGAACTATGCCCTCTAACATTCATGCGGAAGACGCGACTTCTCTAATCTCAACAAATACATTTCCCCACTCACCCGAACGCCCTCCTGCTATACGCCTCACACTTCCTCCTATCAAACCAGGATAGCCCAGGATCACAACGATGCTCATCCATTCGAATTTGGATATCCCCCGACACTGATGAGGAGGACGCTGTGTCGTAAGAAGGGGCGTAAGATGGACGCCACATATGAAAATACTATGAAACAGAGCTTAACCGCGAACTTCTAGAACTCTAGTAGTGGTCCGTTAAAAATTTCTCGACAACACTGGAGTTTCACCACCCTAGTGATATGAAAAACACCAGTGAAAAATATATTTTACGACTACTGCATATCACCGTGTTTTTCACCGAGTTTTACGACGCCACTTCACGTAAAACGGGTTGTGAAACTTCAACGATTACATAGCATATCATAAACAAGGATATTACTTTCGATCTATATTTCCCCCTGTGAAATATTTTTCCCATTTTTTGGTATTTTTCCTTATACCATATTATATAATACCCTTCATCACTTAACAAAAGTGTATATATAAAAACCTCAGATACCCCAAAACCATTTTTCACAACGCTATCAATGCTAGCCGCTCTACCCATATCTTTAGGTTGAAACAACAAGATACAAAACATGTCCACTTATGAACACTAAACTCAACATATCGATACACTAGGATAGGAAACTATCAAACAGTCGTAATTTCAGTAACGTTGGACAGTGACTTTCATCATCCTTACGCCTCCCCCCGTGACACGAGCTCTCGTATATACTTGAACCTCGCCACGCACTCCTTCTTAGTTTTCCCCGGCACCTGATATCAATATCATATAAAACCACAAATTTCGGTGTAGGAAAATATTTTCGCTTCCAAAACTTGCATATAAAATTCTCCAAATTTCCTTCAAAATTATCACCAACACATGTAGTAGACCACGCCGACAAATTCGCCTACATCATCCGCAATTCTCCTCCAACGTTCGTTTGCTCCCAACGATGCAGCGTGAGTCGCCAGCGCTTTCTCCAGAGCCTAGCAAACGAACAACGACACCATCATCACCACTTCTTCTAACACCGGAGTTTCACAGCCCCTTTTTTCGTGAAGTGGCGTAAAATTCCGTGGAAAAACGCGATATTCGCCCTACGTTTTTCACTAGTGTATTTCACATCACCAGGGTCGTGAAACTCCACTAATATACATGCTCAGCCACACTCCTACAAATTGGAAAAACTTTCGAGAAATTCTTATTAATTCCTTCACATTCACACCACCCTCCTAAATAAACTCCTCTAGTGAGTAAGGAAACTCCTGAGCTCAGTCGAGGAAAACCAAAATTCACTCCAACACCGATACGCCTATTTCTCCTCATAAATAGTAAACCTAATACTAGGAGTATTGTCAGTTTCCTTACTAATCATCCACACTGATAAAACATCATACAATTTCCCACAATTTGCATCATCACTATTTGTGGAATATATCTTCGACCTCCTCCTCCTCAGCTGAGCTCAGCAGCCGGGTAGAAGTGTACAGAAACCAACAAGAATTTCCCAAAATTTTCATATTATCATCACCAACATATATTTTCCCCCCATACACCAAACATAATTACTTTCTGCTGTGTCGGAGTCCAATCCTCAGGAGAACTACTCGGTTTTTCAACTTGTGGTGAAGTTGTAGGAGTCGGCTTAGGTGCATCCTGATAATCAAAAAACAGTCAATGTATGCTTCGAAAATACGTTTGCTCTCCCCATCGAAATTTCCAAAGCTGTTCACATCTACACAAAAACTTAATTATACAAAAACCACCAACAATTTTCGCGACAAAAATCATTTTCCTATCAACACAAACATTTTATTTTTTCTTTTTTCCCTCGCATACCATAAATTCACGACGACATCATCTTATAGACCGCATAAAACCCCGTAAAAAGAGTTTTATGCGTTTCACGTGAAGTCCTGTAAAACTGCATGCATATCATACGACATAACACAATTGTTTTTCACCAAGTAAATTGTGAAATATATTTTTCATGGTTAAAACTCATTCATCATTCTAACAACACTATATACCTTTTTGTCGTCCGAGGCTATAGTCGTCTCCTGTTTTTCCTCAGCTTTTTGATTTTTCAGATACTCAGGAGTAGCCATCAGCCTCGTCTGCGCTATCACCTACATATAAAATACCACAACTTCATCATAACAACATACAACGTATAAACCAACGCTGAAAAGCCGAATGAAATTACTCTCATTCGAGGCCTATATCGTTTTCATATTTTCCCGCAAAATTCAATAAAATTCGAGAATTTTCGAAATTTTCGAGAAAAAAAACATTTTTCTTGGGAAACCTTGTCTATTCCATCATCATCACCTCATTAAAAGTATACCGCATTTTCTGCGAAAAATGGCTAACTTTTTTTCCCGAAAAATTGAACCCGGGAAATATTCGAGCGATATAACTTCACTACAATATATGCTACTGAAAAATTTCCTCAAAATTTCTAGCCCTGCGTAACGACCTTAGACCCTTTTTCATACCACTAGACTACCTCATCAGCAGTTCTATTAAACCCAGCACTTTGTAAAAACTGAGCAATAGCTTTCCATCTCCCTGCATACCCAACTTTATATTTCTGCTGCCCTTTGGCTAACATATGGACCTCATCTAACGACCAAGGAGCTCCAACCTTCCCTGAAAGCAATAGGTCCCCGGTTCGATCCTCGGGCTCGGCATCTACCATGTTTATTAACTTTAGCTGCTGCACTCGCGATATGTTTCACGCTCTTCTTCTTCGCTTCAGCAACGTGCTCTAATGCTGCGTCAAACCTAGAGGGAATTTTATGTAACACGAAAGTAAACTTTCATTATAATTTTCTTTCGATTTCATAAATTCATCAATTATTGGAGTTTCACAACAACCCGTTTTACGTGAAGTGGCGTAAAACTCGGTGAAAAACGCGGTGATATGCAGTAGTCGTGAAATATGTTTTTCATATCACTAGGATGAAACTCCATTGATAAATTTCAACACAAAAAATTAAAAAATTTCTTTAAAAAATGAATACCACACTTAAATTCTCTTTCGATTTCATAAATTTTACAAATTTCAAAATTTATCAATTTACTGATAAATTTCAACAAAAAAGATTAAAAAAAAATTAAAGGAATACCACACTTCAAAAAAATTATTACGGATGATAATTAAATTATTTAGATATTTTTCAAACGCCATACGATGATAAAACTCCTTCTATTCCGTGGAAAAAATATTCCGGAAATCATATTTCTTTTTTATTTCTAATTTGCTCTTTCCTCATTCGAGCTTTTTTCTCAAATTCACAAATTTCAGTTTTCTCAACGCTCTTCAAAAATCAAATTTTCATTCACGAATTTGAACTTCGAGAAAAAACCTTGCCATATACGGAACTCACATTTTTTCTCAAAGATTTCTTTTTTTTCCTTGCTGAATATATGCGATTAAAAATTTGCCAACTGGCACATACACAATGAAAAAAAATTCTTTGAAAAATTCGACAAAAACTCCGCTTCCCCACAAGCTACATCGCTTTCAATTTCCCATCATCACGCGCCAAGGTCTCAGCCTTCGCCGCGAACTTCTCCAACTGTGGAGGTGTAAGGTCCAGAAGTAACTACAGCAGAACGGTAGAGCGCCCCTCTCTTCATCAGCCCACCCAGGTTCTAATCCACCTCTCCGGAAATTCATCATACCGTATGATAAATT